CCTCTTTTAATGTCCACCCTCTTCAAAGCCACTGTGTTAGAGGCCTTGCTACCATGGCTGCTTTACTTCTGGTAACTGACAACTTGAGGTACGTTATAATGGGAACTTTTTAAAACGCTGTAATAAATTAAGCCTGTATCTTTTTTCACAGTGGTATAAATGATGGCATAAATAAAATCAAAATCCGCAATGACATTCAAGCACAGAGCACCCAGAATGAAAAATATCTGAAGGCCACTTTGCATTGAGATCCAAACTGCCAGCAAGCAGTCCACAGAGAACATTAAGGATTAGTGCAACTTTCATCAGAAATATAGCTTAACAGTGCACAACAAGTTCAACAGGACTTCTCACAATGCTGCCTTCCAGGACTCTGCATCAGATAAAGGATGGAGTGCTACCAGTTTTTTCTTTCCAGTCAACAGTTTAAAATGTGGGTTGTTAAAGTCAACCCAGCTTCCTCTGTGTTCATATCATTTTACAGAACTCCTGCCATCCTTCATTCCCTTATCCAGCTAAGTGCTCAGCAACAATGGACAAACAAAATCTAAACTAGCATTACCACGACCCTAGGGATAACACTGAATGAGAGTTATGCAGTATGATCTGATAATCGCTGGCTTCAACAGCAAAAAAAAAAAAAAGCCTGTAAATGGGATATATTTGAAATTTATATTTTAAATCTTACATGCAACTGGACACACATTTTGGGAATTATTCCTTTGGCTGGCTATAAGGCAAAAAGGGTGTTATAAATACATTCTCTGATAGATGAAGTACACATAAATATCATTATTAAAAATTAGCTGTTAACAGGCCAGCCCACATCTTGAGAATAATAAAAGAGTTGCAGTGGATTAATCTAAATTTTATGGTTGCCATTATCCTGATGTCTTGAAATACACGCACAGGATAGGTAAGCATGAGTCTAGTCCACAGGCTGGCACAAATAAAGAACATAAACTTGTGTCCAAAGATATTTAAGGAGGTGACTACCAAAGAAGGAAATCAAAGAGAGACACTGGGAGGGAGGAAATATTTCTAATAAATATTCTAATACTTCTAATAGTATTTCAAGGACTAAGAGACATGGACTGTCTCGAAGGACAAGTTTTCATATTGTTGGCCAAGAGTCTTGGGCTTGTAAAAGCCATTTGAACATTTCGTGGCTTCAAATGACTCATAAGTACACCTGACTCTTAATTGAAAAAATTCTAAGAAAAAACAAAAAGAGACAGTAATTTAACGGAAAACCTGATATTATAAAAATTTGACTTGGCCTTTTTTTAAAAACCAGTATGATTTTTAAAAACATTAAATCAGAATTTAAGGGAGACTGTCAATTTAGTGACTAACTAAGGAACATATAATATTATCCTACTTTCCCTCAGAATATTTCCTTACTTTTAAATTGTAACATCTGAACTGTTGGTAGTTTAGTATCCACTAAAAAATTTTGTTAAGAAAAAATATTGTTTCAGGCCAGTTGTTTGCAGGTTAATTCCTGTGAAGTATACAGCTAAGATGATGCAGAACTCCAATATCTAAGAATAAATTGTAACTTTTATTTTTATTTAAATAACGTCAGTCAAAATGCTTTACTGAAAGAATAAAAAATGAGAGGGGGTCAAGTCATGGGGATTTAGGGAAATGAGAGAAGACAGACCAGGCCTGACAGTCTAACATCTGCCAATTTGAGAGAAACAGAGCATTTATTCTAGGGAACGGCAACTGTGCAACCTCAGCATCTTAAAACATAGCGAGGTATTGTTAGCACAGGAGATAAATGGTCAAGTCATGGGGATTTAGGGAGATGAGAGAAGACAGACCAGGCCTGACAGTCTAACATCTGCCAATTTGAGAGAAACAGAGCATTTATTCTAGGGAACAGCAACTGTGCAACCTCAGCATCTTAAAACATAGCGAGGTATTGTTAGCACAGGAGATAAATGTCTAAGTCCATATAAACAGAAGGTCAAGGAATTTTGACAAAATTGTTGCTCACGAAAAGTTGACTTTGCCTTTGAAGTTCTTGTGTGTTCCATATTTAAAGTCAGACACCTTCATTCATCCAACAGTAGCATAGGGTATGCAATAACATGATATAATGGCTTTATTTTTTTCATATTTAAAAAGGTCTTTCACAAGATTCCTCTCCATTCGCTGCATGGCTCTATGTTGACTATAGTGGCATTTTGTTCTCATATTCCAACTTATATGCTCAAAGACATAAGGTTGTACATTATGAAGGGTGGAAGTCTTCAGATAATAGTTGCGGCTACCCTTAGGGAACTAACATGTTGCTGTGTTTAGAAATCCATTATATTCCTGTAGAGAGCACAGGGGGCAAGTTCATTTCCACAATTGTCACAGGGCTGTGCACCTATATCAGAGTCAAGCTGTGCTAGGGAAGAAAAGATACCCAGCCACTGAAGTATTCCTAGGGTTTCAACAGTAGCCAAAGACATGTGATATAAAAATCCTTTTCTAATGGGTTGGTCCCGAAGAGAAATGCAGGTGCTACAAAGCTGAGAGTCTGTCCACTCAGTGTGGGCTGTATAGTGACTAGACTTCAGAGGACAACAGTGGAGGCTGACCTGGTAGAATACTAAGAGTGACTTTTGTGTTGGGCTTGGATTTAGGTGTGATGCGGGCATAGGCACAGACACAGCAGGAGAAGCTAAGATGGGGCAGATGAGGTTAGAACTTGAAGGTGGGGCTGGTTTTACCAGAGCAGAGCAGATTGGTTTACTCTGTTATTAATCAAAAGCAAGGGTGACTTCTATGAAATTTGTTTGGGGCTTGGAATCTAAAGTTCTGCTTTTAGACGTAAGCATTTCTCCTAGCCTTAAATTAGATGTGTCGTGTTTTGTTCGGAAATGAAACTAAATGGAATCTTTCATGGTTTAAATTTCTTTTCCCAAATAGGGATAAGTTGATATGTTTCTATTGCTAAACATTTGAGAATTTGAAAGTTGAAAGATGTAACTATTTTTATATCATACTCTGGTGCATGAAATGCCTTTATATTCAAACTTTCCCAAATTTACTTTCCAACTTAAGGTTCATGGTTTAGTTTTGATCCAAGAAAACCAGATGCTTTCGTGAGAACAGCTTCCTCATTTGAATGCCATGAAAAAAATCACAAATTTTGTGTTTTGTTTTGTTTTGAATTGAGAGGAAATACTGGGACAGTTTGTTTGGGGAGGGGTTATAAGAATCTCAGAAAAGGAATACTTGCTCAATGATCTGACGGGTAGCCGCATTTATAATAAGCACAAATCCTGAGTAAAAGAATTTGAGGTATTTATCTCTTCCTAAAAAAGCGTTTGCTAAATAAATGTACCACTCATTACATGTAAGAATTTGGTCCCTTTAAAATGCCATTTGTTATTTAATCATAAAATTCAGTACAGATAAGATAGAGAAAATGTAATAATTACTGTGACTTTAAAGTATACTCTACATACCACTGAAATAAGGTTCAAAATAAAAAATGCACTTAACATAGTTGGAAGAGAAAAAAATGAAGAAAAATAGGCTTAATTGTTTTCTTGGTTAAGTAGGTAAGCACTTTTTATACACATAAGCTTTAATTCTAAATGCTATATGTATACTATGTTTTCAAGCTATAGATTTTTTCTCTTTATTAGTAAAAATATGTAGTTAAATTATAACAAAAAGAAGAAAAGGTAGTGTTCTAAGAAACTGGGTGCATAAAATGTTATATAACCAATTGGTTTTCAACCTTCAAGTTGTGCAACCTCAGCATCTTAAAACATAGCGAGGTATTGTTAGCACAGGAGATAAATGCTGCATGGCTCTATGTTGACTATAGTGGCATTTTGTTCTCATATTCCAACTTATATGCTCAAAGACATAAGGTTGTACATTATGAAGGGTGGAAGTCTTCAGATAATAGTTGCGGCTACCCTTAGGGAACTAACATGTTGCTGTGTTTAGAAATCCATTATATTCCTGTAGAGAGCACAGGGGGCAAGTTCATTTCCACAACTGTCACAGGGCTGTGCACCTATATCAGAGTCAAGCTGTGCTAGGGAAGAAAAGATACCCAGCCACTGAAGTATTCCTAGGGTTTCAACAGTAGCCAAAGACATGTGATATAAAAATCCTTTTCTAATGGGTTGGTCCCGAAGAGAAATGCAGGTGCTACAAAGCTGAGAGTCTGTCCACTCAGTGTGGGCTGTATAGTGACTAGACTTCAGAGGACAACAGTGGAGGCTGACCTGGTAGAATACTAAGAGTGACTTTTGTGTTGGGCTTGGATTTAGGTGTGATGCGGGCATAGGCACAGACACAGCAGGAGAAGCTAAGATGGGGCAGATGAGGTTAGAACTTGAAGGTGGGGCTGGTTTTACCAGAGCAGAGCAGATTGGTTTACTCTGTTATTAATCAAAAGCAAGGGTGACTTCTATGAAATTTGTTTGGGGCTTGGAATCTAAAGTTCTGCTTTTAGACGTAAGCATTTCTCCTAGCCTTAAATTAGATGTGTCGTGTTTTGTTCGGAAATGAAACTAAATGGAATCTTTCATGGTTTAAATTTCTTTTCCCAAATAGGGATAAGTTGATATGTTTCTATTGCTAAACATTTGAGAATTTGAAAGTTGAAAGATGTAACTATTTTTATATCATACTCTGGTGCATGAAATGCCTTTATATTCAAACTTTCCCAAATTTACTTTCCAACTTAAGGTTCATGGTTTAGTTTTGATCCAAGAAAACCAGATGCTTTCGTGAGAACAGCTTCCTCATTTGAATGCCATGAAAAAAATCACAAATTTTGTGTTTTGTTTTGTTTTGAATTGAGAGGAAATACTGGGACATCTCTTTTTTTCCTCCCAGCACAATGACTGGCATATAGTAAGAACTCAATAAATGGTCAAGTTAGGAAAACATATCTTGAATTGAAATAGAAGCATCTTTACAAAATTTGAGAAATCTAACAAGCAAGTATCCTTTAACAAACACAAGTTGTAATGCACATTATAAAAGTATTGCTTTATTGTCCTTGTCTCTGTGCAGAATCTTTCCATCATGACACAGGAGGATTCAGTTCTGATGTTTGCCATTATCTAGCATTTAATATAAATTTCTCTCCACTGGTAGATCAGCATGTAAAGGAGATAAGTTCTTAAAAATACTTTGATGTTGAGAAAAGCTGGGATGCTAAACATAGATGGATAGTACTAAACTATACGAGAACTCTTGCAGAGTAAATCTCATGGACACAGGAGTTTGCCACTACAGTTTTGGTCATAGTAAACTAAAGATGGTACAGGATGTGACTGAAGTGATCACTGTGGGATATTTGGCCACAAAAAGTCCAATAAATAAATTGTGCTATGAATTCTTCACAGTGCTCTACAATTCAGGTGTCATTTACAAATTCTTTATTGCTATTAAAAATGGATGATTGGAAATAATTTTAAGATACTCCATGTAGTAATAGCCTGTGGAGATGATGGATGTAACAATCCTGAGCATTTATAAAGTGAACTGTCTAATATAATATATGCATATCTCCATGACATGTTATAACACATGATAATTTGTTAGGGAGAAAGCATTTTTAAAAAGTCAATCGTATACAAATGCTCCCTGAATCAAAAGTGCTGGCGACTTTGCCTCAAGGGAAACTTATTTTCCTTCTTTGTAGCCAGTAATTTTTGAAAGGCCTCAACTGTAGATCCAAATTTTTGTTCAGGGAAAGGAGACTGACGACACTTGAAAAAGGAAAAAATAAAGTGAAAAATATCACTCTTTCTTTGCTGGTATAAGTTGCCAAGAAGTTAACCACACGCCATTCATGAGCTGATATTATTTGGATTGGTTTAATCTATGTCATTCATAAAGACCAACTAACTGTTCAGTTTAGTCAATGTTCAGCCATACCGAACGTTGAGGAGCTGAAGCTGCAGGTATGTCTGTTGAATAATTTGGGCCAAATTGCATGAATAGACGTGCTGTTATGTGTAAAACACTTGTGTAAAGTAACTAATTACATTTTGATTTTCTGGCTCTCATATTGCTCCTTTTTGGATTGTGGACTCCTTCCATTCGTCGGTGAACTTGTGGCATCTTCCTTGAGAGAAGCTGAATCTGGAGCAATAGTTCGTTTGGTAAATGCTGGCAAGGAAGAGAAAAGAGAAATAAACCTAGGTGAGTATAAAACCTGGGCTAAAAAATTAATTTTGCAGAAGGGAGTTTATTAATTATGGTATCTTAGAAAATGATATACCCACCCACCCAGTTTCTCAAACCTTGGTTCTTCTCTTCCTTTGTCCTGCCTGATCCTCCTGTACGATTTAAGAGTAAGGTCTGATGATTCTACCTCAAAAACTCACCGAGTCCTTGTGCTTCACACCATGTTCATTATCATCACCCCAGCCCAGTTCACCCTTTTCTTTCTTCCTGTTTTCATCCTTCTCCCTTATGATCCCTTCTCCACACCACAACCGGAATTATCTTTCTAAAAAGTAAACCAGATGATGTCCCTCTCCTGCATTTCCCCTTCACACACACCCCCTCCTCCTCCCTTATGATCCCTTCTCCACACCACAACCGGAATTATCTTTCTAAAAAGTAAACCAGATGATGTCCCTCTCCTGCATTTCCCCTTCCCCCCCCCCCCTTAATGGCCTCCCAGTGAACTTATAATCAAATTCAAACACCTGACTATGGCTGCACCCTCTCACTCACTCGCTCAGGATTCCATCTCTCTGGTAGGCCATCCCCCCCCCTTTTTTTTTCCTCTGGGCCTTTGCACTTTCTGTTCCTGCTATCAGGAAAATTCTTCCCACTCAGCTGGTTCTTCTTGGCATTCACGTTTCAGCTAAATTGTAGCCTCCTCAGAGAGGCATCCCCTAGCACCAATCTAAAGTAGTGGTCCTATTCCAGATACCCTCTATCCTTTCACCTTTATACCACCAACCGTCATTTTATTTCTTATATTTTAGTTATTTTTTGAAAGATTAATAAATTCCCTATATAAAATGAAGGATTTTATACAAGTAAACACAACACAAACAGTAAAAAACAAGCCATAGGCTGGAGAAAATATTTTGCAATATATATAACTAACAAAAAAATTACTAACCAGAACACATACAGAATGCATAGACTCAATTGTTTAATAGAAAAAGGAGCAATTCACAGACAAGAAAATTCATTGGTTACTTAATATGCAAAAAGATTTTTAACCTTACTAGCAACAAGGGAAATAAAATTAAAACAATGCAATATCTTCTCACATTTATCAAGTTGACAAATTTTAGAAGTCTGAAAATATCTAGTGTTGACCTGATGTGATGCAGGAGGAATTCTCACTTATTGCTCTTGGAAGAGGAGCAACTACTTCGCAGCATTTGAAAATGTCTAATAAAGCTGAAGGTGTTCATTGCCTAACACCTAGCAATTCCACGCCTATGTATCTACCTTAGAGAAACTCTAACATGCATGTAAGGAGAAAAAAAAATGCTAATTGCAGCACTGTTTATAAAAACAAAATAGTGGAAACACAAATGTACTTAAATGAAACAAAAGATATATTTTTGTATATTCATAAAATGAAACACTACACACCAGCTAAAACAAACTAAATCTGCCTACTTAGAGCAACATAGATATTTTAACTTGTTTGCTCGCTCACTACCTGTTTCTCCATGAGATGAAATGACTGTTTGTTTTGTTCACTACTGTCCAGAACTGAAGGCAGAGCCCGGTGCATTGCCTCTTAGTAAATATTGGTTGAACAAGTGAATATACTTAAGACATTTTTAAGAGGGAATCTATTGGAAATTTTCTAGCTGCTTTCTAGAGAGTACCTTGTCAAATTGCAATAATCAGAACTCAATTAAAAATATCAGACACTTCATTGGTCAATGAAAAATAATTGAATCATAGTCACATCAACGGAACTTATAAAATGAGACAGAAAGATTGTGCTTTCATAGAATAAACAAATCCTTTAATGGATAAGAAACAATTTTCTGACCTTATCAGTACCCTAACATTTTTATTGCCATAAATGTTTGGCATTTTATCCTATAGGTTTGAGACAGACTACATATGAAGTGTCTGTTCACAGTTATCCAGGTGGACCTTGAAGTACAACACAGAAGTGGAAACAGTATCATATTCTTGTTGTGCATAAATTATTTTTCATCCAAGGGACTTAAATTCCCACTAATGGCACCTCAAAACAAATTGAGAATACTAACTTTTCTTTTTATAGCAATGTCCACTGAGGTGAGAAGGTGAAATAGTTTTTTAAAGCAATTGTCGCTGATTTCTCTAAGAAGACTGTGTTAAAATAATATGTCAGATTCACTTCCAACTCCTATAATTTTCCTTAGATAATATTTTTCTCCCATGAAAAATCACAGTCCTTCTTTTTGGATTTATTTATTTTAATAAATGTTATTTTTAAGAACAATTTTAGATTTACACAAAAATTGTAATCTACATTTATTTTTAAAATTTGGTTGAGAGACATTAATTGCCCAAAGATGAAGCATTTTAGTCTCAAAGGACAGGAGATTTCTAGAAGCCGTCAGCTTACTACAGACTTCACTCAAATCTGGTCTGGTCCAGGCCCCAGGAGTGAAGGCCCTGTCCTGGCATTTTGTTCCTTTAGTCTAAAAGGAGCTGTACATGGAGACTAGTGGTCAGTCGCTACTTATAAAAAGTAAAAATGACAGTTTCAAAAGCTGACATTATGAGTCTCTCTTACTGTGCCCCCACTGTCTACGGGCTGAAGGTAATGGAATCCAAGTCTTCTAAAACAGTGTCCTGACTCACAGCCATAATTTCTAGACAGCCAGGATAAATTTGGTAGTGATCACAGCTTTAAATAATGGATTTCTGTGTTACTATTTCAAATGGTAATATAAACTTACAATTTATACATTTCTTCCCTTCTTCCTGGCAGAAGGAATCTACCTTTTCTTGAATTGATCTGAACTACACAAAGCTGACATAAATTACTTCTTAAAACAAATTTTCATTAATGCTGGATCATTTCAGAGACCACAAATTATTCAGTATTTTCCCATTTCCTTTGTTTTTTCCATGGTCAGTGATTCTACACTATTTTGGTCACAGTTTGACAGGATACTTAAGTCAGCAGAATGAATGCCTTAGCATATACAGCTTAGACAAAAGGGCTCATCCAATATAAATTCCGCCTTGAATAAGAAGATGCCTATTGAGTGGGCCCAGAAACTCCTGCCTAAGGACTTAGGATTATCCACTTCCCAAGTCTCTACACAGGTCTAAAGTGTTTTAAATTCCAAACCCACGCCTTCACGTTCCATTTAGAGGTTAACAAGAAAATTGAACATTTGCTGGTCAGACACAAAAGCTGGGGTTTTCTCAGTAGCATTTATGTTCAGAAGAATCACTTTTAGCCAAAGTGTACGTACACATATCATACAGTATTAAAGGGTTACGTAGAAAAATGGGAGTCTTTTGCCCCCCCCACTCCCAATCCCCAGTCAACCACGATCAACTTTTAGCTTTATTTTCTGTATTTACTTTATTTTTGTAAAAAAAAAAAAAAAAAAAAAAAAAAAAAAAAAAAAAAAAAAAAAAAAAAAAAAATTTCTGTGGTTCTTTTTTTTCTCAGTAGATTGTTTCTCCATCGTTTCTAAAATTTTGCATGTGAAGAGAATCTTAGAACAATTACTTTTCCCTATACATTTTAATTCATTATTCGTACCATTGTTTTTTTGAAACTAGATGGAAATAAAACAAGTTTAGATAGACACTTGTCTTTTGTCTTTTTTCCGTGTCCGGCAACGGATCGCAACCCTCATTTAGATGTTATTCACATCTACCCACTTCTCCTTACCCCACCCTCCCAAATATAGTTACATCTGAACTTTTAGTTATGTCAATAGTGAATGTTTATATTATCACTATATAAATATGACTCACACAAATCTAATAGGTATATTATAACAATGTTCCTTTTCTTGGTCATTTTTCCCCCCTGGGTTTGTTAATTGACCCATTTTTAATTTTTTTCTTTTTTTTTTTTTTTTTGCTGCTTCTCTGTGACCACCTTAATTGTTTCTAATTTCTCAATTAGATCTGCCACACATCTATGAGTAGTTCTTTTTTCCGAAGTGTTCAACTGTATCAAATAATCTATTAGTTTTCTGTTTGTTTTTTGCTAAAGGTTTCCTCAATGGAATCTCTCCTTTCTTCTTTCAGTATGGCAGAGCTGAAAAACAGGAGGGTCCAGATTAAAAGGGCTCACCCAACAAACAGAAGAATGAATAAAACAAGACACACACTGAGACAAACCATCACTAACTGGTTGTGGTCAGATAGGGGCCAGGAGTAGAAGGAATGTGGCAGTGTAGGGAGGGGGATGGAGAGGATCACTTCAAAAGAATGGAAGTCAAAAAATATATACAGTATGTATAAGATTTCTCAACATAAACATTGGATTTTGGAATATCATTATTCAGAGTGATCCTAATTTTTCCCACTTCCACGTTATTAAAAGCATAGGAAATTCAAGGCTTATCAGAAAAGCAAATAAGAATAAATATGATTTCTAGAAATAGGTTTAATTCAATCATTTAAAAATAATTAATGATTAGGTAACTATGATTAATTGTTTAAAAGAATTATTGAAAATACAGGAACAGGCATGGGAGAAAAATCATAAAACAAACTTATCGATAAAAAATAGTAAAATATAAGGCTACAAATTAATCAATAAATTAATTAAACCATTTATTAATATATTAAATTAATAAAGAATTTTACTTTTTAAGCTAAACTTTTCAGTAAATGAGTGTTTTCTTATTTAAATTACATTTTTGATGATATTTTTTCCTATGCTTATTTACCTTTATTTCCTTTTAAACCAGTATATTTATATACAAACGTATGGTTGGCTGTAGAATATATCTTAATTAGAAAAATGAACACAGCTGGTCATGACATGCTAGTGTGGAAAGAAGACTACAGTTTCTTTCACTGCCTATCATAACAGTAAATAAAATCCCAAAGATCTTGATGTTTTCCACTTACTGTCTTCTAACCACTTCCTTTTAGGTGCTTTTCTAGGGAGCCTTAAGAAAGTCATAATGACAAAATTAAATAGCAATATAATATCATGTGATCATATCATGTGCTTTTTATCTCCAGGCTCCTGCCTGTCTTAATGGATGGGATATTCTTATGTCTGATGGTGCTTAGTCCCTACCCACCTCCTCCACGTTTACTTATATTAATTTTTCCACTGCTTAATAAGAAAGATAAACAATTTGGCCTATGTGTATATCAGATTCTGAGGTGCCATAACCAACTTGAGATATGATCCATATTGATGGCTGCTGCCAGATTATAGCAGAGGGTTCATGCAGATACAAAATGACTTGGTAAGATAGATAACTAGAAAAGGAAAGAGAAAACTCTTAGCTTTTGGAAGAAAATAATCGTGATACAGCAAAACCAAACCATTGACCAGAAACTGATAAATATTAACCCAATGAATCCAAGAATATAAATCAGCAGAAATGAGAGTAATCACTACTGAATTTGACCTACTTCCTTGTGGCTTATTTTGGTATTTTATTTTATAGTGATCTAGCTATTTTAAATGATGGAATTATCAAATTTAATGTACAACCCTCCAGGCCTATGGTAAACTAAAGAGCTAAATTATAATCTAAATAAGAATCCATTAATATTTGAATCCCAATAGTTTAGATAAAAGTGGACTTAAAAAAAACCCCAACATTCATTCATCTAATATTAATTGAATATTAATTGAGCATTTACTATGTGCCAAGTACTATGTACCCAACAGTGGTGAACAAAACAGGCAATGCTCCTATCCTCATGGAGCTCACTCTTTGGTGGAGAAACAGGAAACAAAAAGTCACTCAAATAACAAATAATTCTGTAATTATTACTGTGGGAATGGTTTTAAAGGAAAATTGTAGTATATTATGGGCGCTCATAGGAGAACACATTTAGAACTGTAAGGTTCTGATGCCTTCTCTAAGCTGAAATGTGAAGAACGTATAGTAGGGGACGGGAAGGGACAGACGGTGGGAGATGGCATCCTGAGCCAATGGGCTCATACTTTCTTGACGTTGAATATGACATTTTGTTAACATTTACAGAGTATTCGCAGAGTGAAACCTAGCAGGTAATAGTGTCAGTATTCTTACTCTGTACAAGATTACATATGTCTAAACAGTTATATGCAAGGGTCTTCTACTTTTTGACAATTTGAATTCTATTATAAAATAACTTCCTTTGCCCACTCATCCACTGTTACTAGCAATCTAAACAAAAAATTTGCTCCATCAAGATTTTTACCTTGGGTAATTTACTTTAAGTTTTTCTCAGAAGTATGATGTCTTAAAAAAAGGGATTCCATATATTTTTTAGTAAATTGGGTAATATTATAAACGTACTTAGAGGGCATTATGTGTATGATTCACAATGAAGGCTTTCTCAGACTTATAACGTGAATATTATCATGTACTGGCCTTAAACTTTAATTTTCCCATGAGTTGCATTTTCTCAAATTCAATTTAAAAACTGGTTCAGGACTTCATTACTTACAGTTCAAGTGTGAAAATCGTGGACTAGACAGGAAGTGTCTGTGATCCTGCCAAGAGGATGAGTGATCTAACCCACGTGTGTGGGAACCTTCAGCAAAGTTTCTGTCATCCTAAGAAAGAAAGCACGGCATTTCAGTTCAAGGATTACAAAATGGAAGGACCAGGACTTGTTTAAATGTATTGACACTGAAATTGAACTTTAATATATAAGCTACATTATACTTGCACAATTTAATATAATTATAGTCCTTGTAAAAATTAAAACATGTGCATGTAAAAGAAAATATGAAAAAAAAGAAAGAAACTGTTACCATAACAGCATGACATATTTGTTTCCAGTCTCCTCCACCACCACCCCCGGCCCCATAGATAGGATTTATGAACATAGTTATAAAACTTGTGTTCTTCATTTATTTGCATTTATACTATGAACATTTCAAGGTCATCATGATATCCTAACCTTTAGCTTATGGGTTACTGATATGCCATCTAGTGCATATACTATGCTTTACTCAGTCATTATTTTACCTGTCATTTAGGTGATTTCCAGTATTTTACTCCTATAAATAACACTGTGAGAAATATCTTTAAATATATAACCTTTTCCATATTTAGGACTATTCCTTATGACAAATTCTTAGGTGGAAATACTGGGTCAATAAAAACAATGTGTGATGTCTTTAAATACATTTAGCCAGACTGCTTTCTGTAATGATTACATTAATCCTCTTACTCATTCAACAAATATTTAATACATAAACAAAAGTGAACGCAGAAAAGATCCCTCTCCTTATGTATTGTATGAATGTGTCTTTTTCACCAAATCTCAGTTGAAAATGAGAACTAGTACTCTAAATAATTTTACTAGTTAAACAGATTAAAATACATACTTTAATATTATTTTTCTTTGATAAACAGTAAAACTACAATTTTTTTCTCATGAATGTCTTCTCATTATTTACTATTCTTTTTTTCTTCCATTCATCCATTCAACAGTAATTTGGGCACCTACGTTGTGCTGAGCAAAGAGCAAACAAGACATTGGGGTATACAGTCAGGTAATCTTTGGGCTTACTGGAGAGAAAGGCACTAAACAAATCAAGTGCACAAAACATAATATAATTAAAAACTATGATGAGAGCTATGAGAATAGGAAATAACAGGAAAAACCAAATTTAGATTTGAGGTCCTGAGAAGACCCCTTGGGAGGTGATATTTAAGGCAATATTTGAATGCTGAGTATGAATCAATAAATCAGCCAGGTAAAAACTTATGAGTGAAGTGGAGGGAAAGTGAGAGGAAAGCAGGGAGGAGTCGGGAATTACATTCCACATTCATGTGAGTGCTGAGATGAAAAAGAGTTTGGTGTGTTTGAAGAGCCGAAAGGTCTCATGGCTCAGGCACACTGAGCCTGGGGGAAGTGACTGTAGTGAGGTCCAGAGGTGAGTAGAGGCCATGTTCAGGATTGGGGACTTTTTTGTTTCCCTCCCCTTAAGTACAATCAGAAGGCAATCAAAGATTTTAAGGAGCTTTGATTTGTATTTTTCAAACACTACTTGGACCTCTGTGGGGAAAAAGGGCTGGAGCAGTGCAAGTGTTGAACTGGGAATACCAATTAAAAGACTGTAATTGAGGATAACTGTGGGGTTTTAGGAGAGGGAATGTTGCCAAATATTCTCCTTGAAACAACTGTGGATTAGGTGGCCCCAAAACATGCCTCAAAATATGGCCCCCACATATCTGATGAATTAGTTATCATTCTCCATACCAAGTATCAACTTTATATTTTATTTCTCTATTACATATATTATATGTAAGTGCATAAAGGCCAAAAAGAAAAAGATTTTACATATATTTGTAAAAGGCCCCTTAGCTTAATTTAAGGGTACACTCTTTTCTAGTTCTTACTATAAATATCATTTTATAGTGAGATCATTTGTTGACAATTTTGTTTCCTACTTTTTTTCATATAACATTAAATATGGGAATTTTCTCTATCATCATTATAATTATGGCAATATTGTAGTTTATTTTATTAATCTATTGTTGGAAATTTAAGGTTGGTTTTAGATTTTTTTCTATTATAATCATTTGATAAATATTTTGGTGCAAAAAGCTTTATCCACATTTTAATTTTATTTATTTAGAATAGATTCCCAGAAGTGGAATTACTGGGTGACACATTTTAAGGCTGCTTATTTATATCCATTTCATCTAAGTTGTCACATTTATTGGTAGAGTTGTTCATAATATTCCCTAATTACTCATTTAATATGTCAGTAGGAGCTCTAGTAATGTCATTCTTTCCTTCCTAATATTGGCCATTTGTATCTTCTGTTTATTTCCTAATCAGTCTGGCTAGAGGTTTTTTAAATTCTATTGACTTTTTCAAAGTTTTGGTTTGATTTATTTATGGTTTTGGTTTAATTTATTTTTCCTATTTTTCTGCTTTTTATGTCATTGATTTTTCCTCTCATTTTTATTATTTCCTTGATTTTACTTACTTTGGGTTTAATTTGCTTTTTGTTTTCTAGTTTCTTATTATGGAAGCTTATTGATTAAGGTGTTTCTTCTTTTATAATATATACACTTAATGTTACAAATTTCCCTCTACACACTTTTTACTTGATCCACAAGTTTTGATAAGTTTTGCTTTTATTTTCATATAAAATGTTTTCTAATTTTCTTTTTGATTTCTTCCTTGATCCATCCATGATCATTAAAAAGTATGCTGTTTAATTTATAAATATTTGGGAATCTTCCAATTATCTTTTTGTGGGTAGAAACTCCATTTAACTCCATTGTGGGTAGAAAACATATTTTGTATAATTTCAATCATCTTAAATTTAATGAGATTTGTTTCATCACGCAAAATATAGCCTCTCTTGGAGAATGTTCAATATGCACTTCAAAAATATGTATAATTAGCTGTTGTTGAGAGGAGTGTTCCATAAATGTCAGGTCATAGTGTTGTTCAAGTCTTCTATATCTTTACTGATTTTTTGCCTACTGTTTTATCAATTACTGAGAGAGGAACGTTGAAATCTCCAATTATAATTATGAAATTATCTATTTTTCCTTACAGTTCTATCAGTTTCTACTTCATATATTTTGATACTCTGCTAATAAGTTAATACACATTTAGGACAATTATCCCTTCCCTTCATAGTTGTTGATTTATCCACCATTCAACCACACATTTCTTTTTTTTTCATATATAGTAAATGAGGAGGTTTAATTTTTATATATCTTTAAGTTCTAACATTTTAAAATCTTAAAAGAAAAATATTCATATTTCCTTTGAACAATCAACATACCAGAATATGAAAAAAAAAAAAACTTTTCTCTCCTCCAATTTGATATTGATATTTAATCTGTGGAATTTCTATATAAGTAAATTTTACAAGGTAACCATAAAATGAATGTTTCTTCCTCATTCCTCCCTACATTTGAATCAAATACTTAGTATTAAAAAGGAAGTATTTATTAAAAAGGAAGATGCTTTGCAATTTTAGTAATCCCAGCTTTTGCTTTTTACCAATTCTTATCTCTTCAGCACAAGGNATTTCTGAATCTGTGGCAGAAATGTTTATCTGAACTTGTCCTAGCCTAATAATGCACAGTCTTTCCATTTCTGCCCCAATTCTCCATCAGTGCTGAAGAAAGCTTAACCTCTTCCTCACTACATTTTATTCCTATTCGATTGTACAATCTGGG